CTTAGTCATCTTTTGACGCTTTATGCTTTGAAAGATCGCGAAATTGGAGAATACGTCAAGAAGAATGTCTCCCACTTAAAAGCATCACCGATATAAAAAAAAGGATTAACGCTTGGATACTGATCATTCAAAATCGACCGATGAGACGGCAAGCTCTACATTTTACCTCCAGCCAATGTTGTATCATTTATTTGTCTAATTATTTACAAATACTGACGGCAGCGGCGATGCGCAAACAGGAGGATTAGAACAGGTTTGCTAATAGGCGGTTTTGAACCGTGTCAACGCTGGAAATAAAAATGTCAGTACAAGAGTTCGAAAACTAGCAGTTAACTTTAAAAAAAAATAAAATACTGGACATGACAAGCGCTTGTCGTACCCAGTTCTCTATTTGTCTTTGCCCTTCGTGCTATTTCCGAGAAACTATTTAACTAACTAGGTCACTGACTTATTATTGAGTGCGTTATATTTTGAAAGCCTGCCAAGTGTAAGGTCGTAGAGTATTGTTGAATATAAAACTTTACTCATCTCTAGAGATCTTTGCCCACGTTTATGAGCTTGAAGGTCATTGCGCAGTCCTCAAAGTTACCTAACCTTTTGAGATGCGTATTAGCTCTCATTTAGCTAGCGAAATAATGTGACCATCTACTAGCAGTGCTTCGTCGCCGTAGTAGGAACCCATAATTTCTCGTGCACCTTCGTGACACCTGGCAGTTGATCCCGATCCGGCAATCGCTGCTGCAGTTCCTCCCAACAGAGCTCACCTGAGGTGGTAGAAATTACCGGCCGATGATTATTCTAAGTTGCCGTAAATGAGCTGTTCCAACTGGTCTCGAAAAGGCTGCAACTGTTGACGTAGGCTGTTTAACTTCAAAAGTTCATTTTCCGGCAGCTTGAACTTGAGTGCCAAGGTGGTGTCTTGGTAGTGTAGCGCACTTGATCGTTCGCCTGCTTCAATTGTTCCGTTCAGCCCCTTCACATTGAAGGAAAACGCGTTAGAATCAGTGCCGATTCAATCACTATGTTTTCTGGTTAGATTGCATTATTTTTCATTTCATGCGATGACCACAATGGTTGAATGGCGGTGTTCGTTTTGCTTAGATGGTTGTGAAACGAATTGAGACGAGCCATTAAGATGTCGAGCTCTTCTTCAAACGTTGATTTATTGCGCGAACCTGTATCAAACACTGTAAGTAACTTCCTTACCTGTGAACGCAGCGATTCTCGATTCTGTTCAAGCCTTTTCCTGAAAGCATATTTTTATCATCCTAGGTGTTGTTGGAATTGAATTTTTGTCTTGAATATTTATTAATGAAACCCTTATATCCGTACAGGTATAGTTCGGGTTTCAGCACCAAACTTCAAGAAACGAAGTGTCAATACGTGGGAAATATTTTCCCCGTAGTCACAATCACGCGAAAATGCAATATTATAACGCTCAAACTTGTCTATTTCACTGTCCTTGTATTCTTCCAGCAAGCTCGCTGAAGAGTGTTTAAATAGCGATAGCTTATACGCAATAACCGTGTCGCTCTACGTGTGCATTCCGGTTATGCTATATGTTTCTATTATTTATTTATTTTTGCTTTATGTCCTTCCGAGATTTTAATGTCTATAAAAAAGGCAGGCATTATTTGACGTGCAAGGTCGATGTAATGTTGCAAGCAACGTAAATACACAAGAAATTACTTCATCCGCGGTGCCAGCATCATCTTCAGAATTTATTATATGTTGACGGTCCATGCGGGCATTGCATAACAGGGAGAAGTCGAAGGACACTGATATACAAACCCAAACGCAAAGAAGGCAGCAAGACGTTCGGAAACGAAGAATCAAACTATGTGTTACACTAACTGTAACGAGTATAACCAATACATCCCATGTTTATTGACATCTCGGGAGCTCTTTTTTCCCCCCCTCTTAGATGACTTTCAACCCTCCCGTCAGTTCAGAGTGTCGCTGCTTTATAAATCGCAGCTCTTACCGCTCATTCACACTTGAAGCGGATCCGTGTTCGCAAAGCGGTGGCGAACGCGGTTGTATAAAGATCCAGTACAATTGCTGGCGCACTCGATCAGATTAAGTGCGCGTGTAATTGTATTGGATCTTTATACAACCGCGTTCGCAACCGCTTTGCGAACACGGATCCGCTTCCAGTGTGAATGAGCGGTTAGGCGCACGTTTCCGGATATACCGGAGTCGCCGTCGGCGTAACCGCGCGTTGCATTATGGGAAGCTCCCATAATGAAGTCACACTTGACGTCCCGTGTGACGTCAGGAAAGGTGCTTTTTCCCGTTAAGTTTGTCGGGAAAATGTTTCCGCTAAATTTAGAGGGAAAGTTTGCCCCCTAAATTTAGCGCGGACATTTAGCCCTTGTGACGTCACACGTGACGCCACACAACAGGGGAAACTTTTTCCGCTAGATGTATTGGGAAATTGTTCGGCTGAAAATAGCGGGGCAATTTTCGCTAAATTTAGCGGGAAATTTAGCGAAACCTTTTCGTTAAATGGGAGGGGAGCAGGAGGGGTGGAGAGGAGGGGCATACCCTCCCCTCCGTACCCTCCCCTCCTCTTCCTCAAGAGCTGCGCTCTGATTCGATATTATGTCTTTTATTTTTTCCAAACTCTCTCGAACCGATCTGTGCAAATCACGACATCTGCGATCATCTCTGGCTTGAGGAAGTCGTCTCTTTTCTAATTACCTATTGAATTTTTTAATCTTAAAGAGCGATTCCACCATATTTCTGCACAGATACCTCTTAAAGGTCTGAGATCATCCTTATGTCACATTACTTTTACATCGGAGCTGTTAAGGGCTAGTTTCCCCAGGATTGAGACCGGTACAAAACAAATGTCGGCACAACACTGGTTGCCGCCGTCGCTTATAGATGGCGGTAGCTGTCCAGACTCCAGAGTGTTGTGTTTGCCGGTTGTCTGCTGTCGCCGTCGCTCATAGATCGCGGGAACCTTTCCATTCTCGGCAACCAGACAACTGGTTGCTGCCGTCGCTCATAGAAGGCGACAACATTTCTTCAGAGGAAGAAGAGCGGGTAGGAAACGAGTGGCGATGTGCGCAGCAGCGCGAACGGTTCCGCAGCCGCCGTGAGGCCGCTATCGCCTAAAGTTCGACTGCATCGAGCGCTTCAGATTCCCTTGCGAAAGAAGAGCAGATCGCTCGCCTGGAAATCCAACGCCGATAACAACAGCTACAGCTCCGCTGCTCTTCCTTCTTCAACAGAGTGGAAAGGCTGAAAGTGTTTTGCGATACTTCCCGTTTCCTTCGCCAATTGGAGCAGACCTTTGTGCTGGAATATGCTCACGTCTCGTCCCCACTTCGCCCCAAAGTCGATCCAGTACTCTACGAGGAAATGTGGAACCCTTAGCGAACAGCAAATGTAATGACCTCAAACACTGCGGTCTAATTTTTGTCCCTTCTGGAATTCTCCTACAGAAAGCAGACATGCATTATTGTACAAACTAAATGATCTTTTTGTTACGGTATTTATATTGCAGGGCGACATTGAAGTCATAGGGCCTACAGACCACTCATGGCAAAAAAGGATATATTTCGAAGTTTCGCAAGCAATATCCGAAGACAGAGAAACGCTAGAGAGTGGCTCCGGCCAAATAGATGGTGACGTGCGCTGAAACGCATATCAGGAACACATTAGCGAATTTTAAATCTGTGAATGTGCTCGAAAAACGTCTCACAAACGTGCAGTTCCTGCAGCCTAATTTTTCGAACATATGTACTTCATGCTGTGCACCTCACACTATATTGTTCTTGTTTCTTTTGTTTTTTTAGTTGATTCCGAAAGCCACGAATGGGCTTTGGTACATAACAAGGGGGCTATCCTACGCAGTGGGAGAGAAAAAAAACACCGCCAAACCCATACAAGGCAGAGCAGTAAGTCTGGTGCAAAGCCATCCAAAGAGGATGCTGTTCAATACTACCTGTTGCGCATCGGACGGTAGCTTTAGCTCTGGAGATTTTTACACAGTCAAGCCACTTACTAAATGCAATGTGCATGGCTTTAATTGTAAATCTGTCGAGTTTTTTTTTTTATATGGCGCTTTATTGCTTGCAATAATGGCTGCACCACCTGTTTTGCTTGTCTCGATTTTACGAAACAATGTCATACTCGAGTTCACACATTATAAATTGAGGTTTTTTGGGAGATCGATGGGGCCAAACGTTAGAACAACGGAAGTCTGAACATGTGCAGCGACAGTTCGGGCTGCAGAACTTAGATATCCTGGGTTTAATTTCCACCCATGTCTGACTAGATATGGATGAGAAGCATGCAGGCCAGCTTTTGTGTGTCAGTACTGTGGGGCACGGAGACAATTCAAATTCTACATCATAAAGTAATTTCGCCATACCTCAAGGTACACCGACTTCGTGTTGTCTCAACATAAATGTTTATTTGCTTTGGCTCCTAGATCAGCCTTTTATAGGTGTAGGTTTTGTCCGTATTGTAGAATATAATTTTAGAAGTCAGTTTAAAATGTTAAACAGGTATCTTCATTGTCCATTCTTAGTTGCAGTCATTTTTTTCTTTATCAACTGAATTGAATTGTTTTCTTTGGTGACAGCTTTCTGGGAATCATGCATGTCTATTGTACAGTCTATTTTATTGTTTATTATTGTTTTATCACTTATTTTATTATTTTCTGGTATTCTCCATATAACAGATGAAAACGAAAATTCCGATATTTCGGGGCGAACGCGTTCTCTTTTTCACGAGTGATAGCAAGGCGGACGGCGCCTGTGCAAAAATCTTACCCGTCGGTCCGTGTGAAAAAGGCCGTTATGAGGGCACAATAAAGGTAATGACTTAAAAAAAAAAAAACTCTGCATTGTCCCTCATGAGATTTGCAACATTGTTCGTGAAGTTGACTGTGCTGGACACGAAGAATATTTTAATTTTCTTTATTTTCTATGGAATGTTAAGTCAAACTTTGGATGAACAGCGTGCTGTCTTTTCGGTGAATAACACTAGACATTTCCGGACAATATCCTTGACTTCAACTCCTGCCTCAGAATCTTCCCATTTTCTGATTTCGGTAGAGAATTCATAAAAACCACGCCGCCGTACAGATGCTTGAAGGTCGCTGTTTGACCTGCAAAGAACCCAGTAACACCTCACCAACAAAAATAGTGAAAGGGCGTTCGGCTAAAAATATGCGCAGGTACCAAACGGGGGCATAGTGTTAATCAATAACGTTTTCTTTTTATATATAGTTTGCTTCAGAGTATTCTACTTGTACGTCTCATGAAAAATAAACAGATAATAAACCCTTAAAGAAGAGGCTGAGAGCCTTCTCTTCTACAGGAGACAAAACTTGAGTGAACTCTGCAAGCCTCCCCACCACAGAAATAAATGACGATGTGTAATTTACGTTGAAGCTAGAAAAACAAGGCCGATAGATTACTTATTCTCGTAGTTTATTGTTTGGGGAGGGAAGGGGATGTTTTGTGTTTTCGTGACGTTAGTTTCTGGTATATTGTGTATTCATATGCACATGTGACATATGAATAATATGTCACAAATTTTAAATTTGGTTAGTAATCAGTCTGGTTGTTTTCATTGCAGCACACTAAAAAGGCACCTCCGAGACATATCTTTTTTTTTTTTTTTACTGGGGGAGGAAAAGAAAAGGCCGGTGGGAGTGGTGGAGTGGGACAACCTTTCGTATTAGTTCGTTAATTGTGACATTTTATCCGAGCGTTTACATCAGCCATTCCAAAGCGAAAAATTCCTCAATTAATCCTTCAACGTTCTTGTACCACTCTTCTATATACATATACATGTATATATTGACATAACTTTGTTGTATATGTATATATATATAGTTTTCTAATTATAGTTCTATTAGCGTTGCGAATCGCCGTTGCCAAGTTAAAACTATTTCGCTTCAGTTGCAGTTTAGCTTGCGTTTATATATTTTTACAGAAGATATAACATTTTTTCAATCAATTCATTTTACGCTAATGTGATCCACATTTGAGAGTCTCCATGTCCAATTAGTTTTAACTAAAAGTTACTCCCGGATACAAATGCATATTAGTATAAATAACGAACTATTGGGTGGATCGGCTGCACGAAGAAAATTGACAACCTACCTGCTACGAGTTCTTTCAGTTCTTGTTCCAGACTTTCTAGGCCTTCTTCCTGGGATCCCTTGACAACGACACAAGCGACCGGAGCCTCCCCGTACTTCGAACTGGGTATGCCGACCACAGCGGCTTCCAGAACCGCCTCGTGTGTGGTCAAGATTTCTTCCAACTCGGCAGGAGTTACAATGTTCCCCATACATTTTATCATCTGCTTGATCCGATCTACGATGTAGATCTGTCCATTACTGTCATAGTACCCGAGATCCCCTGCGAAGAAGTGCATATGTTGTGACAATTATAAAAGTACAATGATTGTTGTGGATCAAGGCAGAAACATGATCACCGCAATCACTGGTTTCAATCCATGGACTTTTTCAAATATTTTTTTCCTTGCTTCGTCCTACATTTGAATTTTTTGCGAGGTAGCGTTAAATGATTTTCTCTTTAAATATTTTTCCTTGCACTATTTGGTTTTGTTTAAAAGACAAGTTTCTATCTATGATTTTAACACACATTTCTTCAACTATTGAACATCTTTTTTTTACTGTATAGGTGTGCATATATCCTCCATTGATGTTTTATACTCCTCCATGCCTTACCTGAAAGCTGTTGGCACGCATTTGTTCTCATATAATAAAAAAACAAAAACTCGTAGTTAAGTTTTCTTTATTTCAACAAGGTTGAAGAACTTCGCTTGCTTTATTTCACGTTGCATCCGTAAATTGAAAATAAAAGTTTGATTTATGGGCTTGTATTTTACACAGTTGTTTGATTCTTGCAGAAGTAATATTGTCGGAATGGGGGAAATTTGCCCTGACTCCTGTACTTCAAGATGGTCTATCCTTGACCTTTTCATCAGAGGTAATATTGACAATAAAGATTCGGACATTCTACATTTGACCTTAACATTTCCTGCTATCGGTCGCATACCCATCGATTACAAACTACAAGATGCCTCGGAGCAAAGATAAAATAACCATATAACCTCAAAGTACGACGTTTTTCGTTACCAACAATTGTCTAGAAATTGTTTGCACGGTGGTTAAATTTGCAACGCATTGTTTCCTCGCACTTCTGAGTCCGCTTCAATTTTCCCAAGCGCCTCTAAGATGCCCCTATTTGACATCTTTACTCACATCTCTTCATTTTCTAAATTATCCAGTATAAAACATTTATTCAATATCACACCAAATTGCCGACAATATTTGCCTAAATACTGCGCGCTACAGATTAGTTGTCATATGTAAGACAATATGCTCATTACTGTTACCTGCCCCTCCTACACTGGTAAAGGAAAGTGTAGGGCGGTGTACTTCCGGATGTATCACAATACACATACCTAAAGTACAGTGCCCTACACGTTTTCGCACCGGGGCAGGAGATCTAGGTTAATAGAATGAGCCTATTATGGAGAACTCCCATCAAACTACAGATATACGGTTCAAATATAAGGCCTGCTTGTAAATTGGTTGAGGAAAAACAAAGGATTTCTACGCTTTCTATACCGTGTGAGCCTATAAAAATAGCACGGTACCTTGAACACAAAAGGTTTAGAATTGAAACCGATATCAATAAAATCACTAGTATAGAAATATAGGATTAAAAGAGGAGACTGCTTAACAAATGCTAGACCTCGACGCGCACTGACACGTGGAACACGACAGGGCCTCGGTGAAGACAATTGGACAGGGCCTCGGTGAGGACAATTGGATAAGTTTAAAAATGAGTTAACAAAAAATCATCTTTAATCTTACCCGTGCGGAGCCAGCCATCGCGGCTCAGGACTTCTAGAGTAGCTTCCGGACGACCGTAGTATCCCTTCATAAGGGTTTTGCTCTGAACCACGATCTCGCCTTTTTGATAAGCGCCAAGAGAAACTCCGCTGGAGAGGTCGATAATCTAGATAGTGATTTTGATTATAAGAATTATTCCTTCAATCGACAACTTATTAAATGTATAAAAAAAACGCGAAAAAAATTTTTTTCCACTTTTTTTAGGGGTTTTTAGACAGCAGATATGGTATGCGTTTCCAGTTTGATGTTTGACAAATCTGAGCAACAACATAGATTCCTTTTTCGACACATAAGAGAAGAAATAGGTCGCCTTTACCAGATGTGCTGGTGAGTACCAGAAAAGCATCATGTCATAATCTGAACGAAAAATTGGTATATACTTTATGGTGACTGGAATGTTTAGGTGGTCCCATAGTGCTTCACGTTTTATGATCAGGAGCCGCTTCAAACACGGATAAAAGAAAGAAATATCAAAGCCAACTTTTAATTATTGTTTGTTAAGAGCAAATAGGCAAGTAAACATATCAATTTTAGATGCAATTATATTATAATGAGAGTAAAAAAACAACTATTTCCGAAACAAAGTCATATTTTTCTTCCAATGGAGACGTGTGGCACCATGGGACACCACTTTGTCAGTGTCGATCGCGGTTCGCCTTGGAAGCTCCACTAGCTGACAAGATAAATATTTAACCTAATGGAAGAGCGCGGCGCTTGGCATGTCTGTCGCATACTTGGCCTTATATAAAAAAACGGGAGCACAGCTATCTCCTTTCATTCGTCTCGCTGAACGCTAAAAAAAAGTAATGAATACGATAAATTTTCATCGGGCCTCATGATAAAGGTCTGCTCACTCAGTCACCACCACAGCATATCAGTGCTGTTAGTGAGCGCTGAAAATAGTGCTAAGCGTTTTGACACAGCCCTAAATTTGCAAAATATTAATGATACATCACTGAGAAAGAGCTGCATCAATACTAATTTAAGTTTAAGTGAAGTCTACACTGGCGCGATTTCTAACATAGACAGAGAGCTGCGATGTTTCCTAAACCGACTTTAAGCCCTAGCCAATCGTTCACGTGAATTAGAAGGCCCTCCGGTAAAGACGTTTAAAGGGAAACTCAAGCTCATTCTCGGTTGTGAGAAAACAATGCAGCTCTTTAGTATACTTTAAAGAGACCGCATGCCAAATATTAGAACGTAATACCAGCTACAATATCACAAAACCGGCCAACAAAGACTAAGATGGCCGAAGTCACCAAACCCCGCAAATTTAGCAGGCGACGTGCGGCGCAGCCAACGTTGTGTTGCCGTTGTTGCTAATGTCTGTGTGCATGCGCAATTTTTTGTACAGCGGAGCTCTTAAGGGCTAGTTTCCCGAAGATCGTGTCCGGTACACTACACTTGTCGAGAAGAACGCCTCTGGACAGCTACCGCCATCTATAAGCAACGACGGCAAGCACACAACCAGTATGGTTGCCGCCGTTGCTCGTAGATGGCGCCAACCTTTCCAGCTATCATTGAAGAATGGATAGTTGGGCGGCGCGTTGGTGGGAATTCATCGTAGGAAACAGCGCAAAAAACAATCGACGACAAAGAAGAAGAACACGTAACGAGCGCATCGCTCGTCACGTGTGTTTCTTTGTCCTCGTCTGTTTTGCGCGCTGTTTCCTACGCTCTTATCAGTTTCGGCTTTCGGTTTAAACTTAGGATGGGTCGGCCGCGCGCCCTTTTGGGGAAAGAAGACTGGCTGCGGAAGGAGCGGCGACGTACGCAGCAGCTCGAATGGGTGCGTAACCACCGCAAAGCCGCTGTCGCCTCGACTTCCACTGCGTCGAGCGCTTCAGATGTACTTGCCAGAGAAGAGCACATCGCTCGCCTGGAAAGCCGCCGCCGAAAGCAGAACCAGCAATGTTAAGAATGCCGGCGGGCCAACGTCGCGGGCAACGATCGTGCCACGGAGGCCAAGCGCAAGCGCGAGGCCCGGCAACGACTGCACTCCACGAAGTCTGAACAGTTCCCGGGCGCGACGGCGATGTTCCGGAGGGAGTTCGTGGATTACCTCTTTGGCGTCACATGCGCCTTGTGCGACCAACTCTGGGTCGCCGGAGACGTATCCACGATCGGCGGCGTGTGGGACGAGAAGAAGCGGGAAACGGGCGCTTGCGCGTTGCGGCAGTGTATCGAGTACAGCTCCGCTGGTCCTCCTCCTTCACGAGAGTGGAATGGCTGAAGGTTTGTTGTCTTTTTTATTTTACTTTTTCAGGGATAGCTTACCAGAGAGTTACCGGCGCGCCACGTCGTTAGCCACGCCTAAACAAATAAAAAAAAAAAACGAAAAAAAACGAGCGATAAAAAAGAGAAATTAGAGGAGGGAGAGGGTGGTACGAGATGTCGTACGCTATGTTTCGCTGAGTAGCCGCCTGTGTTGCCGCCTACATAGCCTGCTTCGTCGCCGCTTGCGTTGCCTGTCCGCCGTCGCCGCTACGCCCGTCGTCTCTCCCTGCACCTCGCCCTTCCCCGTGCATTCACGTCATATCTGTGTTACCGCAGGTAGATCACGTGACCCTTTGTATCTCACGTGGGTGCGTATCTCGGAGTCGAAACTACAATGTTGCCAGGCTGTGCCGAAGTTACTGTTTCAGTTTGCTATTGTGTTAAATCACAAGATAGCACGAAAAATATTTCGGTTTTCATGAGATAAACGGTCTATGGTTTGTTTTGGAGTACTTTTGACGTAAATATCACCCACTATCTCAAACTTTGCGGGATGGAGTGGAGTTGCTCTTTAATAAACATTGAAATAATAATAAAAAATTCCCTAGATGTAACACATGTTTTAGAAGATAATTTCTGAATTAAAATATTTTTGGTGGAATTTATACGCTGCCAGACGCAATTTAGCTGGAGGCGGCCCCGCTTTAGCCCGCCTATTGTCGAAAGCTGATATTGCAGCTCTTCTTATCTTCACCGTAAGCTCGAATGCAGTCGACGCTAGGAGCTGATGGGACCACGGATGGAGCCGACACTAGGAGCTGAGGGGACCAATGAGAAAACCTTTCGGATGCCGCATGTGCAAAAATGTAGAGCGGGGAAAGCATGAGGGATGGAGGGGATGTTTTCACTAACATCTGGCACGCTTCCCCCCTCCCCTTTCCTCCTAAAGAGATACCTGCATCCGCCCCTGGTGACCGTCAGGGTTCAGCACGTGTTATAAACAGTGAACCAAACACGAGAAAAGAAGGCCCAGTGACTTCCGGCTTTAATCGTGCATTATTGGTTCGGTTACATCGCAGCATCGTAGCGTCGGCTACGTCCGGACCTAAGCTGACATGAAGTATAAGCGTCGCTTTCTGCCTTCATTTGGCTAGAAAGATAACTGACGTTTGGAATGTGTAAAATCGTTCCTACTTGACGTTAAAATTTGACATCTTTATGTTTATAACACGAACGAACTAGATAAAGCCCTGATTGTTTTTCACTAATATCACTAGGTCACCATTTTCCCTTTGATTTCAAACGGTAAAAAAAAACGATTGCTGCCGTTTATGACGGGTATGTTCTGCACACCGAATAGCTCGTTCATCTCTCATTGTTTTAGTGCGAGTCGTATCGCTTTCAGCGAGACGTTCACAGGACGGTCTCAACTGAAGTGGATTGTAGCAAACAACCACCGCAAGTACACGCCTTCGGGAACCTTTCGCGGGTGCTTGTTTTTAAAGTGGCAATGGCGTGAGCTAGCGTGATACTGGTGGTTCTATATAGCGGTGCTTCTAACGCGTCCGGCCATCTCCCGATAGGCGGAGAAAGCATATGACACAGGCTCTGTCGTCTGCTGGCTGCGCTATCGAGAAAGGGCGCCACACGTTACAAGTGTCGCTTGGAGACCCTTCATTTAAAAGGAGTGGCGTGACCTATAGACATCGTTTGCAATTCAATGGCGGAGGCCCTCTGCGCTGCTTGGTTGTATGTGATCACACATTAATCGTCTCGGCTTCAGAGTAACGCTACTTGTCCTATCTTGTTGCTAAAACCATTGTTGCCAATTACTTGAAGTTGCCGTTGAAAGAACCGTTAACGCTTTTGCTCGACCCAGAAAGGTTAAAGCGGTCCGCGAGAGAGGAAAACAACACTGATGAAACTTCCTAATTCAGTATCTCAAGATCAGCGTATCTGATCTTGGAATTGCTACAGTCAAAATGAGGAATATAAAGAAAGAGCAGCACCCTTAGGCCGTGTTCCAAATTTTACTAGATCTAACTCCAGGGTAAGGGTTTTGTACCTTGGCGTTCTAAAACCTATCCGCGTCCAGCGCTTTTCAATCTGTGATGTCACGTGACACGACCCGCCGGAGTAACCTGGATCCATTTGGGTAAGATTTGGAACACAGCCTCATATGTTTAGGTTACCCTAGGAGCCGGAGACTGTCAGCGGGTAGCTTCGGTTTCGTTCTCACCGGGTTGTTACTGCACCTTTATTTCTCACGATTTCTCACGTCAACGTAGACTCCGCTACGCTTAGGGTGGATACAGAAAGTACCCTTTTCATCTCGTCGCTGCATATCATACGCAGCGAATAACGAAACCATTACGAGTTTGCTGGCTCAAGGAGCGAGCGAAAACGCCGCATCGGCGAAGTCCCTTGAACGCAGACCGATGTACGCCGACCGCCCTGCCAGGTAAGTGTGTGTATCTGTTTGCAAACTCGAGAACAGGTTTTTCGTGATGTACAGGGAGAACAGCGCACCCGGAGAACAGTCATTCAAATCAACATACACACAAAAGAAAGAAACACTTACTCAGCTTTCTTTTGTGTGTATGTTGATTTGAATGACTGTTCTCCGGGTGCGCTGTTCCCCCTGTACATCATGAGTAACCAACTCGCCCGAACCTCTGTGTTAACTCGAGAACAGTCACTGGGAATAGTGTTCCAGTTTTATAGACGCTTTACACACGCGCCAAATTACAGCCGCCATTGCTGACCTTCTCTTGTCTTACAGAGATGCCGAGCAACTGAAACGGTAGTTGACGATCCTCTACAAAGGCCGATTCTTTAGAAAAGGACACAGTAACACTTAAAATGGCAATAACTTGGCCTGCTATGGTAATCATGAAGTGAAATAAACGGAATAAGAGGAAACAAAAACTGAAGGTCAGTTATGGTGGCGTCCATGCACACCTGCTGCAAAGCGTCTATACCACTCATACCTCACCGATCGCTCTTTTCAGGTTTTAGTTGAGCTAGTTGGAACATAATGATGGCAATCTAGTCAGTTAAACACAAAGCAAAAGAAACACGAGAAAACTGAGAAACGGACTGGACTGGAGAAAAGCGCGAGAAACTATCACATAAAGGAAAACTTCATAAAGAAAACGAAGTGTTAGGTCTAAAAGTCAGATATATAGGGAAGCTATTTAGTGAACAATATAAGCACACCAACACAACTAGTGTGCTTTGATCAATCTTGTGGCCAGTTTTCTCACAGCGACGTAGCAAGAGGTGCATCATTTGGGCTTGAAAACATTCTAGTGCGAAGAGGTTCATCATGCACCGCGTTAGCCTGATTGAAAATAGCGATCGGCGAAGCAAGGGTGCTATAGTACTAGAGTAGTAGTCTCAGTGGATGCTCTCGAGGCTGCAAACCAATGAGCGCATGAGCTAGTAACGTGTTTCGCGAACGTCGATCAGCGTTTATTTGACATTTCCGTTTACCTGACTTTTCCGTTTTCGACGAGTAATTGTAGAGTAATTCAAAACGACATTGCCGATGGCGGTGCGGAGACAATAGCAGACGACACATGCACAACCTGGCGAAACCGAAATCGAAACTTCCCGTTGCGAGTCTCCTACTCCCAGAGTGCACCTGGACCGCTAGGGGCTCTGCTGTTTTGCATATTGCCAATTTCGCCCGCTCTGCACTGTTCTACAAGATGGTGAAGCACACAAGACTACCGAAAATGCAAAGTCGATATTATCTTAGCGTAGCTTACTTGGTGGCGCAACGCCGAAATAACAAATTATGGAAAGTAATGAAAAGGACGAAGGAAGGGCGAGACATATGTTGGTTATGACTTTGCACGTCTCAGTTCGCCTCTATAAGGACAAAAATAGAGTAGAGCGCTTCCAGACCACCGGGTGTCTGTGAGAAACGATTGAATGGCTTTCGTAGCAACAGTGCATTACCCATTGCCGACCGCTCAATGCCCGCAAAATGCAGCGCAAGAAGTCGAGATCAGATAGTAAAGTTACATCAATCAGAACAAAACTCGCGCATACAACTGAAATACTTTCAATAAGAAAATGGCTGCCAAGGCTGCCTGAGAATACGTGGAAGTAAGTAACGTATTATGCGGAGATCACACCATAATTGCCCATTAAATGTTTGAAGAAAAAAAATGTTTTGGGTTTTTGATAGGATAACGTTACCATCTTATTATGACGAACCTGTTCTCGATCGTTACCGCCACATTCAGACGTATGCTGCGCTTTCCGCTATGGGTAATATTTCTTTACGATGTGAAAATCACATTTTATTTTACTAAGACCGTTCACTACTTAACACTGTTGGCCTGACTGTTTCTTGAAAAAAAAAAAAGGTTGCGTGATCACATAATGCAATGGGTACATAAGTGCGAGATGGTACTTTTTATCAGACATACCTTGACTTTGGTGCCAGCACACGGAACGCCGACGTTGTCCATGGAGATTTTTCCAGGAGGAGTGCAGCTTACAAGAGGAAACGCTTCAGTCAAGCCGTAGAAGTTTACGAACGAGTTCACACCAAAGAACTTGCATAACTCTGTTCCTAGAGATTCGGCGAGCGCCGTCCCTCCGACTATAATCTTCTTCAGACCCACCGCTGGATGGTTGTTTGTTCTCGCTTCGTTGAGAATCTCCCGTAGCCTTTCAGAAGATGCGAAAATCACAGATATCTGTGGAATAAGACTAGTATTCAACTGTCTATTTATCTTGTAGCGATGCAAACTATTCCTATTTCCGCTTCGTTTCTTGCTTTTGAATGCTGCCGGTAGTTTTAGAATGACCTAGCGCAGCTATGTCGCTCTGACATAAACCACGACCAAACGTTTTGTCCAGTAGGATGTTTCAATAAAATTTAAAAGAATCATCTAGTTAGGAGTAGGAAGATTTTGACGTAATCTAGATATTCTTGGAAAGGATATAAGAATATCAGTATTACAATCGAAAGACACAATTTTCTATACCTTATCGTTGCGTACATTGGTGGGGCTAGAAGAGCTTCACTGGAAGACCTGCGGCAATCAAGTATCACAAGAAAGAAAACGTTTTTTCTTTCATTTTATTTGGGGGGGGGGGGGGGGAGCTAAGCACAAACTCTTGCAGAATTTGCTCGTTTGGGTAATTGCGTTCATTTTTGCTAGCGTTTTTGCTTCCACCTTGAAAGACAATACCAGGGTGTGAATGCTATTGATTTTCCAGTTTCTGTTTCTCCCCCTTCCCAGTGGTCTCAAATGTGCTTATCCTAGGTTGGCTTACTTGATGTGTAGAAAGAGTTTCCAAGAAATCTGTGCACGATAGGGAAGGCTCCGTAACTATCACCGTTGCTCCCAGGCACACGCAGATGGTGTCGATCACAAACCCGGAGGCGTGGGTGAAGGGATTCCAGGCAAGAATTGCGTCATCTTCAAGAAAAAGACCTGAAGCCCTGTAACATGGCACAATAACAGGCAACCAGATTTCGAAAGTGGTACGCAGGTTAGATATTACTCGTTCATTCAATCAAAACAATTACATCTATATTACGTTGTCAAATACAAGTGGCTGGCAGTGCCGGTTCTCAGAAAAAAGGCTAATTAAAATATGTAAACACAGCAAATAGCAAATCAAAGAAATATATGTATGCCTGGCCATTCTAATGTGCGACACGCATCCGCCGGCATTACGAATCTATCTACGACCAGGATGACTAGGTCAATGCAGGCGATTCTGCGATCAAAATAAATACATTCTTTTTTTGCACAGCCTTGTTATTTTGCATGCCTGAAGGTCTACTCTCCTTCAGTTAATAGAGGGCCAATGTGTTTCGGTCTCTCATATGACTTCACCTTAGGCCCACTCAAAGGCATTCTTTTGCGACAGGGCCAACGAATTTGACGCGTCACGTTATCAGATCACGGAGGCACTTTAAGTCGTGGTGCCCCGTTGGCCAACTTCAGTGTCCATGTCTTTCTTTTATTGAACTACTAAAAACTTGATTTGAAAATATCAGCGTGCTACTTTGTTTTCTGTAGTAACATTCGTACTACGAATATTTCGATTGTCTATTGATTTATGCGCTGATTGATGCGAAAGTGGTAAGTTATAAAGGCTGAATTGTTAAAAGCCGCGTGCATCCTTATTTCTTCTACAGTTTATTGAACGATTCGGGTGAAACTTCGAATTTACCCGTTCAACCCCATTGAAAATACCACATCATCTATGATGTATTATGCGACGCTATCACCGCTTAAAGCCCTTCAATCCATCCAACCCTGAGCCTTACAAACCCCTTCAGCCCGTCAGACCATTAAACGCCTCAGGCTTTCAGAACCTTCAGCCTTATAGATCGCCTCAGCCCTTCAACACTAAGACGCCTAAATAACTGGGAAGCACTGACGCAAAATACAGGATAAAACGCTTTTGGAAAGACTGATGCAATACGCACGACGTCGTGCACCTGGACCGGGAATGACTATACGCACAATGCGGAGAGCTCATGCCATTTAGGTCACCCTTTTCGGAGGCCGTGTGGGGAACGGCGCGTCCCATGACGGCAGGTCACGTGATATTAAATCTCCCGCCAAATTTAGCACGGAGATTGAACAAGTGCGTAGGTCATGTGACGTCATATTTTTTGCTAAATTTAGTCGGGAAATAGAGTTGGGGCATAGGTCACATCAAGTCAATTTTTTTCCGCTAAACTTAGCGGGAATCTTCGTTTGCCTGTAAATTCCGTGATGTAAGGTCACATGACATATATTTTCCTGCAAATATTAGCGGAAAGCTGAATAGGTGCATAGGTAACGTGAAGTACATTTTTCCGCTTAATTTGGCGGGAAAACTGAATAGGTGCATCCGTCACGTTACGTAAAGTTTTCCGCTAAATTTATCAGGGAAACTGAAATCCGTTACGCTCACGCCGCCGCAAAACCGGGGGCGACGAGCCCGTAACAACTATCACTATAAGAACACTTGTTTAGCAAGCAACGTACATTAAAGTACGGTAGCAGGAGACGTAAGCTTTGTGGGAGACTTGCACGGCTTTTGGAAGGCCCGTGGTTCCGGATGTGTACAGCATCACGACGACCTCCTCCGTTGTGTCAGCAGGAATGTGGGGCTTCAGACTAGCCTCCGAGTAGTCTTGGAACTCGAGGATGTCAATAAAACCGGGAACTCTTCCAACACAGAACAGCTCCTGCGAAGTCGAAAAGAGACGACTCGGCTGCCGGTCGGGTCCATAATTGCAGACTCTAAGATTATAAACCAATGTTGCACAGATCCTTCTGTCAAACCAATTTGTGTCAAATTGCCTCACAATTTAGTTGTTTTTTTTTTACGACGAAGTATATTTAGTAAGATTTCGTACCGTTCGGTTCCTAAGATCATCTATTCGTCCATAATTGAAACCTGAAATCTTTTGGACTGATTCGCATAAGACCTTGTTTGCACTTCATACCGATAATAAAATTAAACCTTGATGTTGACGAAATAACTCAACGAACGATGTCTGTCATGCCCCGCAAGACTCAGGAACTTTTGAAGTGCAAAAATGTTTGAGTTGCGTGGAAATAATAAGGAGGAATAATTGCAGCGTGCTTTAACGAGAATAAACGCTTCTCCGTACATCTAGAAGTTTTGTTTATATGCTTACCGCTGGTGTAATAGATAAGAACGCCAGAATGATCTTGACTATTCAGTTTCGCCCTAGTTAACTCCCGAATATCCTATGTTGAATCTTTGAGGTGACTAGTTTAGTAGACAAGTAGCCGAGCACGATATTGTCAATTCATTAACTGATTCACTCTCCCGATAGCCATCTGCCACACCTAGTAGTAGTAGGTAGTAGTAGTTCCCGGATGCAGTTACCGTTGGGAGAGTAGAAATAGCACCTGTAGTTTACATATACCTTACAATAGCGTAGTTTAAAAGGTTCGTTACTTGCCTTACCAAAGTCAGTCAGTATTCTTCTGACATTGTGTGTTTCGATAGAGAAGTCCTGGGAAATTAAATATTAGTACCGCGAAGTTGGTGTTTAGAAGCGAACAAGTTTGCTTTAGTCTTAAAAGACGAACATTTTACAATCAACGAGCGGAACTTGTCGGCGCTAAAAGACAAACAAGCCCATGGGCACGGACAACACTTTCAAAGGAAATGTCAAGGATAATCTTGTTTTACAGTGGAGCTCTTAAGGGCTATGTTCTTCAGGCTCGTGTCCACCAGCAAAAACGTTATGACACCGAACCCTGGACAGCTGCCGCCATGTATGAGCGACGGCGGCAACCAGACAATTGGTTGCCGCTGTTGCTCATAGATGGCGGCTACCTTTCTTCGGAGGAAGAACGGGAGCGGAACGAGCGGTGATGTGCGCAGCAGCCCGAATGGTTCCGCAACCGCCGCGAGGCCGCTATCGGCTTAAGTTCCACTGCTCGACCACTTAAGATTTCCTTGCGAAAGAAGTGCAGACTGCTCGGCTGGAAAGCCACCGCCGAGAACAGAAGCTACAGCTGCGCTGGTCTTCCTTCTTCATCAGAGTGTAAGTTTGATTGCTTTTCATACTCTCACTTCTGACATCGACCACGTTTCAGACTCCGAACGGGGGTTCCATACAATCTTAAATTATCTCTGCGGGAACGGTCTTCTGATTCAGACAACCTAGCGCGTAGACTGGCGTTTTTTTTGGCAAGAGAGTGGACGGGTTGCCTTATGGCTTTTAATTCCTGCTGAACGATGTCTACGCTGAGTATATTTTGTTCTACAATAGTGACTCTGCTGTGGATATCGGTTACCTTATTTCCGATTGACTGATGATTGTTTTTGATGGCAGCCGCAATGTCAAGAAACAGGGATTTCCCTTCCTCGAGTCTAAGTGAACGGTCACTAAGGTCCTCAAGTGAGAAAATCACATCGGCCATTTTTTTGTCTTTCACATCCTTATGGGATCCGGGAGTTATCTCGAAATCACCGGACCGGACAAAACTTACCACAGGCGTGATACAGGGGGACAAACTATTTAAAAAACAATAACAGTTGTTTACATGGAAGTGCTAGGTGAGAGGGGTTGTCAGACGTTTCACAATACAACAATGTAAATCAACCAACCAGCATCAAGAAGCGAAAAGGATTAGACGACAGCATTGCTTTTCGCTCACATTCCCAAACAAATGGTAAAGGAAGCTGCCAGTTGCTTTTAACTTGCGCCGGGAGTTGTGTCGATGTTGATTCAGATGACCTGGTAAATGGGTGATGCACATTCCACGAAGCTACCAAAGGGCCACTTGCTGGGTAGGCTAAGCCAAAGTCAGATTGTAGCAGGAGGCTCGCTAAAACGCAAACATCATCGACCGCATGGCCCGAGAGTGACGCAGACAGGCCCGCGCCAAAGAACCTCGACGAACTGCATAATGATATGAAAAGAATAAGACGATTGCGTTGCTGGTATGTTTACATTCCCACTGAAGGGTAAAGGAGCCTCCCAGATGCTTTAACTTGCGCCGGGAGTGATGTCGCTGTTGATACAGATGACCTGCTGCATGGATGATGCACACTCCCCGAAGCCGCCAAGAAGCAACTTGTTGACCAGGCGATGCCAAAGGCAGATAGTAGCACAAGGCTCGCCGAAGCGCGAACGTTATCTCCAGCATGGCCGGAGAGTAACGCAAACAGGCACGAGCAAAGACGCGCCACGAACTGTAGGAACAAGAGAAAACGATTAAAGGACTGCAATGCTGGCACGCTCACATGGTCACGGAGTAACGGTGGACATGGATACTTTTACGAATGTCAGAATGCGAAACCTCTACTACGGAACGAGATCGAAAAAAACACCTTCGCGAGTAGGCGCAACCACGGTCAAGACGTCGTGGGAATTAGAAAAAAAATGAAGCGGGCAGGGCGCTTACGATGTGAAGCAATGTGGACGCTCCCTTTTGTGACGCTGCCAAGCAGTTGCCAAAAGAGCTCTATATCTGGCTCGGGCTGTCAAAGAGGAGCGGCGCGCCCCTTTATGGTGTCGCACGCTTCAAATCGATACTTGAATAGCAAAGATAATTACACAGCGTTGTTAAAATTAATGTCACCCAGTCCCTACTGAAATTCGTGGTGCGAAGTTTCCAGCTCGACTGTGGAGGCCCTTAAACAAATGAAAAGCTAATTTCCTCCCTGGAATTTACTGCAATTCACATCATAGCGTTATTGCGAACAACTTTACCGTGCTCACTATCATGAATCAATTGATATACCTTTTATATGTCGACCGCACTCACCTTTATAGTTGATGGCATGGTAATTTTGAGAAGATTTGGAGCGGTATCCATGTCTGTTAGGATGTAATCACATTCGCTGTCTCTAATCGTGTATAATACTTCCCCTAAAATAAAAAAAAAGAAAGTCGCTTAGAGTCCTTTGTAATGCCGAATTAGAGTGAAGCTCTTGAGGAGGAGGAGGGGACGGTACGGAGACGAGCGTATGACCCTTTTCGTCATCCGTACCCTCCCCTCCTCCTTTCCTGCTCGCCTCCCATTTAACGGAAAAATTTTCGCTAAATTTCTCGCTTAATCTAGCGGAAACATTGTTTCCGCTAAATTCAGCGGGAAAACTTTCTGCCAATTTTAGCGGGGAAATTTTTCCGCCAAATTTAGCTGTGAATTTTTTCCGCTCAATTTAGCGGGAAATGTGGTTACGGACGCGGACGGCGACGCCGACGACGCTCAAACCCGAAACGGGCTCCTAAGAGCTGCGCTCCAAAACACAGACATTTAAGAAATCTGGCTTGTATTATAACTCTGCTTATAATTACAACCGCCATTCATATTGTCCGGGTGACTAATTGACACTCACTTGCAACGTAGGAGGCCTTCGCCATAACAAGTGTCCCTCCAGCGAATACAACCGCCATTCCTGCGGCTATATTTTCGATGGTGTTCCGGATGTGGGTGCATACCCTCGAGCCAGGCTTCAAGCCATGTTGTTGAAACCCAACAGCGTACATTCGTATCTTCTTCAAGAGATCATTGGCGGTAAGGCTCTGCTGAGTATCAACCTGGCAAGAAGAATCCGGCATATACTGGCCTTGGTGAAATGCAAAAGGCCGCGGCATAAGTTTGACCTTAAACCATACATGCATACGTCGGTCCAATTAGATCGTCAGGCCATTTTCGTTCATTACACAAAGCACGCACATCTAACATTCGCTTCGCGGCGATTCTGCCTTCGAGCTTGGTGCTCTTTTCGTCGCTCGCTTGACTTCCGAGTGAATTCCTAATTTAGGTTGCGCTTTCTTTTTCACTAATGTACAATGTTTCTCTCTTTTACACAACTGTGGTTTCCATACATGATTGTAGGAAGCTCCCGGAAACGACATTAGGCCACCAGACGTGAAGCAAGGGGATACCTCCGGTCTGGAGGGACATGCCCCCAACGTTGACCGAGAACGAAGAAAACCAAAACACGCTATTGGACGGTAAGGACACCCTTGGGCGTGTTCCCTCCGTCGCTACCTTTACTTTCTGATTCAGATAAGGTCTTTTTTTCTTCATTTGGCTGGCTTGAGCCGGTCCGTCTCCTCCTTTTTTCCTACTTAGCTGTTCCCAGACGGCTTTTGCCCGTTGTGATCACGGCACGAACTGCCAGCGAAAACTGAAGGGACGCCACTTGTCTGTCGTCAGATGCAATGTATACATGACCGTACCATGATAATTATGGCAGTTTTATTGCATTCTATACTTTTTTAATTTCAATATCCTCATGTCCTGGAGGGCATTACAGAGAACTTTGGGTAGAAACAACAAGATAAACAAGAACAAACACAAAAAAATAGCAAAGGCCAACAATGCACTACTGCTGGAATGTAAAAAAATAGATGAGCCAAACATGCTTTAAAAAAATTATTCGATGCAACTTTAAATAAATTATGCTACCTAAAATGCTGGAAGACGGTTCCAATCAAAGTACGTTTAAGGAATAAAGGGATGAATGTACACTCTGGTGTTTCACTGAGGCAGGCCGATCTTAAAGTGATGATTGACGCGCCGCGAAATAGAATATGCGCTCAGAAAAAGTGAGTCATTCACTTTTCTGAGCGCCGCCTCACAAACACAATGTCGAGGATGAGGGCGGTCACCTCCACAATGTCGAGGATGAAGGTGCATCTAGGGCGCGCTTTATCTTGAGAATGAGCGGTGGTGACGTCAGAATTATATATTCTGTAAAAGAGACATGGACATGATTTTTTTCGGCGTAGTGAAATACGCCCTAGTGATAGCCTGGTTTTCATTGGTCATACAGTACATCTAGTTTCACCCTCAGTCCAGGCGCAGCCTACACTACGAGCTCATGGGACCAATCAGACAGCATCATAAGGGCACCATCTTGGTGGACTAATCATGAACAGAAAAGGCCTAGTGACTTCCGCTTTTGAGTCTGCTTGATTGGTCTAGTTACCTCGTAGCTTCGACTGCGTTTTCACTTAAGCTTAAATGAAGCATAGCCGTGCAATGATAGAACGGAGCGGAGGTAAAACATATAAGCAGTCGTCAAGGTGAACAAAAAGGACGTCATGAAATAAACTCCGCTCACAACCAAGAAATCCCATATTAATCAGTACTTGGTCATTTCCACCCTTTGCCTAAAAATGAAGCGCACGTTCGGTTTTGTTTTAATTGATATTGGGCAACGGGCATGTTTGCTATCCAAAATTGTAGTCACGCCCAGTTCACAACGAGCGTTCAATGTATTTAGAAACAAAACACATATTTACGAGTTATTTTTTCTTTTAATGCAACCTCAAGGTCTCTGTGTTTAGAGTGTTTAAACAAATTGTCGAACTATTCTCAATTCGAGATACTCACTTGCACGTACACGAGAAACGCAACCGATGGATACTTACAGCAATTATCTTGGTTGACCATTTCATTAAGCATTCCTGGAGCATTTGGGAAGCATGACAGTCTCCGACGTCGAAGTCAGGAAATGGCGACTGGATCACTCGTTCTCGAATGCAGGCTGTCATCCCTAGTTTTGGATTTTGTGGTCATAAAATACAATCCCGGTATTCAGCGTCAAAGCAGTTCCCTCAAATCGAAGCTGAATCGTATTTGAAGTTTGTTGATGGCCCTTCCACTTTACTGCGACCTGTCCCTGGGCACGAAATTCGAACACCGATGAAACGGGAATATTGGGTTTAAACAACTGATTTTGTGTTGAAAGAAGCAATAACGGCAATAGCAAAGGTGCACTGGCTGTGGTTCGTTTTAGCTGAAAAAGGCTGACTGACCTTAGACCACCTGAGGCGTTTTTCATCTCTCCAAAAGGGAATTTTTTCGCCGGGCTCGTATTTAACTTTTACTACATGTGCTGTTTTCGTTCGTTAATAATGACTCATATTCCGATGCTTGCCGCTGAAACGGAAATGAATATACGGGTACTTAGGTGCACATGTACCTGGGTACAAATTGAAAACGAAAGAGGGCTCCATGGAGCACTAAGGTTCATGGGTTGCCCAAATATTTATTTCTCCAATAAGCGACTCGGGCGAAATTCGCTAACTTATTTAGGCTGGAATATTTTCCTAGCGTCTTTATACCCACGGGCAATGTAGTGAAGCCAAGAGTAAAAAACGACGTCTGTCAGGTATCGAAATAATTAAATTCTGTAACTCGTATCCAACTTTCAGCCTGACGATATGGACGAGGATCATATCTAAAATTTTAGTCTTCCTTACGCGGAACTTACAGGTTCCCGTGAATAGCACGATATCTACACGCCGTGAAGGTTAACGGGCATGGCGAATTGTTGAGGGCACCTAATAAAAACCCACCAGTATGCCACGTAAAGCTGATTTGTGATTGAAAAGCCAGTTTAAAAAAAACCACGAACTGAATTTTTGGCTAGCCTAATTATGGGATTTCGCTAATCGCATACTGTTTAGTGCGCAACAATAAAGCTAGTTCACGAGCGTAGAAAGCATAAAGCTTGATTCTCGGTAGAAGAGTTTGAAAAAATAGCGGACTCTTTTTTTATCTCCCCTTCTTGAAAAGCTCTCCGGCTTTTCGCAGGGATGAAATCCCGGTGCCCAATCTTTTCAGCGGAACCTAGCTCAAGCATTGGGCACGATCACTGTGTAACTAGGACGTATGCGCTTGCCAAGAATCAATCCGTCAATGAATATTTTAATTCGCGCTCGTGGACAGTGAGTGATGCCACGGCACTTATTATTACTTGAATAGGACAAGTTTCATGGTCTGTTTAAAAAGCACGTTGGAAGCATGCAGTCTGGGTCGCGCACAAGCAATCATCACGAAATATATTGTTTATTAGCGCGATAGTCTCGCTCTTTTACACCGAAACTTCCTCGCGTCGAATCAGGCCGGTGGTGACGTCTAATGTTGTCACATATCTCGTTCATATTTCCCCTTTAAAGTGGAAACAAAGTCCCCAAGTTCACGTCACTGGATAAAGGCTTTGCTCGTAGCTCAATATTCTCGGGGATTGACCCCGTCTAGCTGGTCTGCGGACTTGTTGTCTTTGCTGTAGTGTGCTAGAGCTTGATGCGGTCGGTGAGTTTGTTGGTGGTGACAACAGTGGTAACGGTGGGATAGGAACCTCTGGTGCTTGGCCAGTAGAGTCTCGTCGTCATCGTTACTGTCATCGTCTCCATGTACGGAAAATGGTACTCATGTTTTCTTGTGATGCCGCCTGTTTCTTCTGAATATCTTGTTGTATTCCGACAAACAGCATACGTTCTTGGTGCAGTCAAAAAAAAATACCATCACTTTAATAGTACAGCCAATCGGGGAAGCAACTTTGACGGTATCATCTGGCCGGAGGTCCTGCAGACAATGCCAACTTTCATGGTGCTCGTGTTTCCTCACTTACGGTCCCGACGTTCTTCCAGTGGAGTGATTTGATAATTAACAACACCCAGCTAAAAGTCTTCTTCACCTTCGGATGTTTTCACGAGAATGAGCTTGGCTATTTGGGCGCTCCTTTTCCCAGTCCGTTAGAACTTGAGAAACGAGGACATGATGTGGTATGCTGGAAGTCATAGGCGAAAAAAAAAAACGTTCTAAACTATCTTGATGAAAATGGGGTCCATGATCTCAGCAAACGTCGATGGGGAGATCATGTGTTTCAAATGCGGCCCTTAATGTCTCAATTATAGTTTGTGATGTAGTGTCCTCATGGAGCTCAATCTCCAGAAAGTTTGATTGTGAGTCATAAATAATCAAATATGGATCGCTTGCGTACGCAAATAGGTGTACCCCAAGACTGGCCCACGAACGTGAAGGGTTTTGGGCCCTAGTAGTTCATTCAGTTTCTAAAAAGCATGTCGCTTACAGGCGCTACGTTTACTGATTATGGATTCTTCTTCCGAATTTAGGTCGGACCAAAACAACAAGGCTACGCGCTTTATCTTGACATTTATAAATTTTTGGTAGCCATCAGGGACGCGAGTTAATACTTCTGAGAGCATTCATTGGAGAATATCTACTCGGCTGCCTTTAAACACAATACCTTTGAGAACAAACAATTTTGACATCATGAGACGTACGAGTAAATTATTCTGAAACAAACAATATATGTAAAGAGAGGTTAGTGACTAGCACTATGCCCCAATTTTGTAACCGCAGATATTTTAGCCGAACGCTTCTTCACTATCCTTGTTGGTGTGGCGTTACTGTGTTGTTCGCAGATCAAACATCGACCTGCGAGCACCTGTACGGCGGAGTGGTCTTTATGAATTCTCTAGCAAAATCAGAAAGTGGAAAAAGTTTGAGGCAGGAGCTGAAGTCATGGATATTTTCCGGAAATGTCTATGTCTAGTGTTAATGACCGAAAGGCCAGCAAATTATTCATGACAGTTTTTCAAAATATTCGAGAGAAAATAAATGAAAATAAAATATTCTTCGTGTCTTGTACAGTGAACTTGTTTGACAATGTTGTAGATCACTGAAAGGAGCATAACAATTTTTTTTATTTAGATCATTAGCTTTATGTATATGTTCTATAAATTATACTCAATAAGGCATGGGATTTGTGTGTCCATATTGGACCCATTCGTACATGAACCGACGGGATGGAATTTGTACGAACACCGTCCATCTCACAGTCAGCCGTGACCAAGAGACTGTGTTGGCCCCGTAACATTGGGATTTTCATTTCCATCTGTTACATGAAGAATACCATAAAAATAAAATGAATGATAACACAACAAACTATAAAATAGGGTACTGTATTTAGACCGCATTAATACTGGTCTGACACATTACAGTGATGCGAAGGTCCCTTGCAAAGCGACCTCAATCGCTTTGTAAGCACAATAGGAATGCATAATTTTGAAAAAGCTTTTACCAAGGGCAACAATTCAATTCAGTTGATAAAGAAAAACATATTTCAACCAAGAATAGCCATGCGAAGATGGCTTGTAGCATTTTCAAACAGTTAACAGCCGCCTCCTTTTTATATGACTGCACCATATTTGCTGCTTTGCCTTGCATGAGTCTGGCGGTGGGTAGTATTTTCTGCTACTGCGTAGGATGGCCACCCAGGCAGCACGAAAAATGTGTTGTGTGTCTGGCCAACCTTTGGCCACTCTCCGGCCAGTTCGGCACTGGCCCCCAGAGATCAAAAGATCACCGGCATGCGTATGACAAGAAACAACTGTTTTCTTTTGGCCACTGGTGATAAAAAACTATTGGCAAGCATCTGGCCACAGACAACTCAGTTTTTCTCTGGCCGCCGGTGATAAACAAAAAGACCGGCATGCATCTGGCCACAAAGCACTCACTTTTCTTTTGGCCACCGGTGTTCGAAAGATTATCCGTAAGTGTATGGCCACTGTTGTATCATTTCTACTCGGCTACCAGAGACAAAAAGATGTCTTGCAAGCATCTGGCACCAGCGCACACTGTTTTCTTCTGGCCACAGGAGTTCAAAGGATCTGACAGTATGTGGCCACTGATGCAATATTTCTGCTCAGCTGCCAGAGATAAAAAGATGCCTGGCAAGTATCTGGCCAGAGAGCACTCTCTTTTCTTCTGACCACAGGTGTTTAAAAGATGATAGGAAAGTGTGTGGGAACTGGTGCGTTAGTCCTCCTCAGCTGCCAGAGACAAAAAGATATCTGGCAAGCATCTGGACACAGAGTACTTTTTTTTTTCTCCTGGTCTTCAAAAAAGTATCCGAAAGTGTGAGGCCACTAATCAACATTCAACATGGTTAACATTCATCAGCTCGCCAGCACGCTTACCATTTTATCACTATTGCAATATTTCTGCTCAGCTATCAGAGGCAAAAAATGTCTGCCAAGCATCTGGCCACAGGGCACTCTCTTTTCTTGAAGCCACATGTGTTCAAAAGCTGATCCGAAAGCGTGTGGCCACTGATGCATTATTTCTGCTCGGCTACCAGAGACAAAAAGATGCCTGGCAATCATCAGGTATCATTGTCTCAGCTTCTCAGCTTTGACTCGTGCTTCGACTGCGATCGAATTTGTTTTCTGTACTCATTTTATAATATCGTGGCCCGCACTAAAGCAGGCACGCTTCTACTTGAGTGGCAGTTTCGGGCACTCAAATCTGTACTACGCAAAGCAAGTCCTGACGAGCCACATTTTGCGACCCTCCCTGGGTAGTGCAGGCGGCCACTCAAAGCAGCAGAGAAAGATTGATTGCTTTGTCCAACCCCCTCTGACCTCGTCTTCTGATAAGCCTCTACACCTTCTTTTGTGTCTTCGTGTGGCTGTGAGTGAGTGCGAAGGCCGCTTCCAGCAAATGAGAGGGGTGGTGCGAAACACGTGACCGCTCTCCGTGGGACAAAAACGCTTGGACTAAAATTTGTCATGTGACTCGCTCTGACGGGCTCACTGGGGCCGTAGTTTTTGCCGTAAGCCAGGTTATGGTTAGATGTA